GAGCCTCCTGTACTTCGAATACCTCGGTTTGACTATCCAAACAAAGTCCATTACGCTTTCTGCGTGCAATTTGCTCCGGCTGCTTTTCTCTCGTTTCTAACTTTTCTGATGTTTTTCTTTAACTATGCGCACAGGTTTCCAGAATTTTAAAGAATTTCTCAAATTGATGAGAAGTTCCGGATCCTGAACCTGAAATTGTAAACAGTTCATCTAGCAGAAGAAGTACATAACATCGGCGAGATGAAAGCTAAAGGCAATTCCCATGGACCCCGGCCTCGCTGTCAATTCGCCTCTGATAATGTTTTTTGCAAACTGTTTCGCCATTTCAACAACTTCAGCCAAATGAGGTTTTCCCCTGTCCCCCAGGCATCTGATCTGAATCATCTGATTTTTTAGGAACTGCCTGGTCAAAGCTATTCTGTTTAAAGGAATGGTAAAGACCAATTTCCACACGAGACTGCGCTTTTGGAAAATGGACGCCGCATTGATCAGTTCAAAAATGTTCTGATTTTGAGTTTCTTTGTTTATTACTTAATATTAACCTATTTTTGTAAAACTTTGCAATATTAATAAAAACAATACTTGGGCAATTATTTTTCTTGCTCACAATATGGCCTGCCCTCCACTGCTCACCCATTAACCTCCTCCCTCAATCCGGCAAAGCTCCATATTTACTCAGCGCGTGTTCCAGCTCACTTAAACTGAAACATCCCGACCCCTTGGTGGGTCCAGGCCCAACTTCAGCACCCAGACCATGTAGTTTGCTCAGTAGCGTATCTGTTCCCTGCCGGGTGACTTAAAAATAAGATAAAAATATAACTCTTCTCGTTCCTCTTTCGCCCCGCTTAATTAACCCGATCCTTACGCAAATCCGGGTGTCACGGGGCGTCAAGAGGAATTTCTGCCTGAATGCGTTCCAGTCTGGATTCAAATTTATAACAGGAATGCGAAAAATTCTTTAAAACATATATTGAAAAGAACTAAAATATATCTCTAAGTAGTCCTCATGATGATCTTCAACTCAGAAATCTTATCACAAGAGGCGTGAAAATGATGATTTTTTTCACTTGAAATACCTCGTACGTCATCTTTTGTGAGACTGAATAGCGTCCATCTCTCTCGTTTTCTCTCCTCTCTCTCACTCTCTCTCGCTCGCTCTCTCCTCCCTCGCTCTCTTAAGTTACTTAAAAAATGCCTCCTTTTCAGTGATCAAATGCAGTGATGCTGTCCGCGGTGTCAATGATAACTCCCAGGAGTCTCTGAAATAGCCAATGGCGCTGCCGTTAATCGGTATGCAACGGAGTCTAAAACTAGCAGACAAGCTTAGCAAAGATCCTCAAAGAATCGCGTAGGAACCCAACCAAAATCTGATTTTTCCAGCCCCAATAACTGACGGAAACGACACACTCGCCGCCCAGCCGGAGGACTTTGAGCCCATCCACGATCCTCATCACGACAAATCAATTTTTCCACTTTGACGAGACGGAGCGCCACTCACGATTTTGGCCATCATCGCGTTGATTGGGTTTTTGAAGATAGATAATGATTTTTAATATCTCTCTCTCTCTCTCTCTCACTCTTTATCTCTGTCTCTCTCGCTCTCGCCTCTCTCTCTCTCTCTCCCCCTCTCGCTCTCACATACAAAATACTTTTCAGCCCAATTAAAGCCCGCGGCGTGCCCCACTCGGTCCTGTTGCTCATCTTGGCCCAGCCGCCGGCTTCATCTTAACACGGGTCATCACGCAAGACGTAAGTCTTGAAAATATACCTTCAACGCTATAGAAAAATACATTAATCCATCGCTTTAGTTATATCTGCGTCCACAATGGTTCTTCTACTACATGCCGCCCCCAATCGTGTTAGAAGCCGGGTATTTCCTGAAGAACAAGGACTTTTCCACAATCTCGGACGATCACACTTTTTGCTGTGATCGGGACGATTATGAATACGGCGATGATTGGTGAGTAAATAGCTGGAATTTTATATCTTTGAGATATCCAAATTCTTTAAATTGATTCTCTGGTTCGAGAATTTCTGATTTTATCCCGGCTGAAAGGTGTCGTGACACTATTTTTGAAACTCCAAAAATCACCTAAAGCAGTTTTTCTAAAAATGAGCCTTTAAAATGAGCCCGAGCTTTATTTTTAGCCGCCATGCTCTACGCGGCACGCGGTTGGTTTACCATCAATTTGTCGTTGCTCGAGATCACGCTGTTCTCAATCCTGATCTGCGCTGTAGATCCGGTCGCTGTTTTGTGTGTATTTGAGGTCAGTAAGTCTGTAATAAAATATACAATAACTTGTCCTTTAACCGCATAAATTTGAGGAATTCAGTAAACCTGAATACCTCATCGATTTAGGATATCCACGTCAACGAGCTGCTGTACATTTGCGTATTCGGAGAAAGTCTGCTCAACGATGCCGTCACCATTGTAAGTTTCTTGAGTACTTAACGTCTTGCTACGTGCGGTACGCAGGCCAAGTAGTGTGCGCCCTGTAACGTACTACTATGGAAAGCAAATGCGAACTACAGTAGGTATTGACATTCATCGCGCTACAGGCCAAAGATTGTCGGTACGGCTACTTAATTTACCTAATGATACCACTTTTTGAATAATAGCTGTATGAGCTATATTTCAAGTTTGTCTTTAGGTTCTGTTCAACACCGTCTCCTCGTTGGTGACAAGTTCGACCGGAGGTGCAAATCAGATCACGATCGGTGCAGCGGAGTGTGGACAAGCCTTGGGGCACTTCTTCCGGGTATCATTAGGCGGAATCGGATGCGAGTAGTTGGCGGATATCTTACAGTGCTATTTATGAGGTGAGAAGAGAGCTAGAGAGAGATAGAGATAGAGATAGAGAGAGACAGAGACAGAGAGAGAATATTCAAATTCTATAGCTGTTTTTCAGATTCCTCGTCACCTTCCAAATCGCCCAGCCCATCAACCTCATCGCTTGCCCGATCGTGTGCTATTTGTTGACCGAAAGCATGCATTTATCGGCAATTCTATCGTCAGTACTTACTTGATGATATCGTATCTCTATTTTGATTAAATCGAAGATATCATTAGTGCGCGCTTTTAGCCTCGTCGTAATCGGTATCATCATGAAGAACTACATGCCGGGCAACGTCTCCGATCCGATGGTGTTTACGGTGGAATACCTGCTGAAGATGGGCTCGTCTTAGTAAGTTTTTTCATTGCGTAATCGGACAAGCTGATTTTTTTATTAATTTGGTGCTAAACCAGGCGAGCTAGCAGAAAAACTTTGGGAAAATTGCGATACTAAATGGTCCTTTAGTTCCGAATCCCTCGTTTTCGTATTTCTTGGCGTCTCCGTCGTCTCCTCGAACCATCAGTTCGATTTCTGGTTCGTCATCTGTACACTGACCGGATGTTTAGTTTTCCGGTTTATAGGTAGGTTTCGAGTTTCGAGGAGCGAGTATTTATCTAACTGTTTAGTCGTCTACTTCCTCAGCTTCATGGCCAACAGGTACCGCGCGGAGACGGAGCGTATCAGCATCGTCGACCAGTTCGTGATTGCTTATGGCGAATTCGAGGTAACGATAGAGCGAGTGCGAGAGCGAGAGGGCAAGATAGAGAGAGTGAGTGGGAGAGAGAGAAGGAGAGAGAGAGAGAGCGTCAGCGCCAGAGAAAAATCTGAATTTTCAGGAGCCGTCTGCTACGGTCTCGTCATGGCCATCGACGAAAACTTTTTCCCGGCTAAACAAATGTTTGTCACGACAACACTGGTCGTCATTTTCTTCACTACGATTGTTCAGGTACGAGACACTACTTACTACAGTAACCAAAACTAAAAAAAGCAATTCATAATAATTTTTCTGAAGAATTTCGTTATTTTTCAAGTTTTTGGCGTCTTTTTCAAGTTATTTTTGACTTCTAGGGCTCCACCATCAAGAAACTTGTCGAGTGGTTGAAGGTCAAGCGCAGCAAGAACTTTGGAAAAGAATCCGAGAAGAAGCGGGTCATCGACTACTTCTTCGGCGAGACCAACAAGCACCTGATGTTCTACATTGAAGACTTGATAGCGCACCATGGACAGAATTGGGTAACCAATTTTCTGTTTTATAGAAAACCCATATTCTTTTTTTCAGTTCTTCCGAAAATTCCTTGAGAAAGACCGGAAATGGATCAAGCCGTTTTTGGTGGCAAACTACAAGCATTTGGATTGTCAAATTGTTGTGCAGCACCAGCGGCTTGAACTTGACGAATATGCTTGTAATATCAGGTCTATATTTTTGAAGTCGGCATCTTTCTCCTACTCTCTCTCTCACTCACTCTCTCCATCTCATTATCTCTCTCTCTCTCTCTCGCTCTCTCTATAATCCCTTCGTTTCAGAGGCCAAGGCGGCTCCTTCGCGGGTCTACCCACCGTCTCCTCCCTCGCCGACATGCAGCTCCACCCCGGCCTCCCCAAGTCAAAATCCGAGGCCCTACTGGCACCTCGTATCCTCGACCCGTACGCGCTAGGCTCCACGTTTGTCGGGCTTCTCCAGGAGCCCCAGCAACACCATCCCCAGCCACCGCAGCCACAGCTGCTTCCGGCACTTCCACAAAAAACACAGCTACTCTGGCAACTCGCCGCCGCCAAATCGGCCCCCTCACGGCGCCTGCGCTTCACCCGCGCCCACACAATTGGGTCCCGGTACGACGGGGCCTCTGGCTTGAAAATAGGCCACGCCCACACTCACGCACGCTTGATCAGGCTCAGTTTTGAGCAAGAGATCACGCTTCCTCTGACGCAGATTCTGTTCCGCCGAAAATTTTGTCGTATCGTGGCGCTATTCGGTGTAGATGGAGATTGTGGATTTGGTTCTGCAAGGCTATTTTTTCGAACATAAGTTAGCGTTTTTGCTATGAAAAAAGTAACGTATGGTAGTCGACTCGACGCGGACGCCGCGCTTCAGCACCATACCAGATTTTTTTAAAGGGATCGGCAAGGCCTATCAGCCACGAAATCCATCGATTATTTTGAAATTGCGCGGAGTTAAAATTCACTAATTTTTAAAGAATTTTTTGGTTTTTGTCCGGACGGATATATTTTATTTACGTTACGCCACCGTTCTGGTATGCAAATTATTGGTAGGAAGATAGGGTAGGCTAGCAGAGACCATTTGTTAAATTCTGCGCCATTTGAGAAGAACAAATTAGCGTTTTTGTGTTTTTTGAATCGGTTGGCTAGCACTGATTTTTTTGCGAGTTTCATAGGTGGTATCTGAAAAATATTAGAAACAGGGAGACTAGCAGGCTTTTTGGTGATTTTCATGCAGCTCCAAATCTAGCAGAGATTCATGAGAAAACCTCCGAGTTTGGATTTTTCGTGATTTGGATCCGATAGCCCTTGCAAAATCGATTTTTCTACCGAAAAACTGAACCTTCAAAACCAAATCTACCTCCCTTTCACCTCAAAAATTACCATTTCAAAACTACCGTAACCCACACCACTATACACTATCTTCAAGTCACGATATTCTATAGGACACTGTAATAGATACTATCTCTACCTAACCACATGCAAAAACACGGAACGCAGCTCGGCTCTGGTGTGTTGGTGCTCCATGGAGTTTGTCCCTATTCTTTTAGCCGAATTTTCGACGTGAAAATGCCATTTTAGACCTGTGGACATCACCTTCTCGCCGGATCTTACGGAACGTTCCACGTTACTGCCGGTTCCACCTCCAAGCCAAAGATCTATCCCGAGAAACGAGAGCTTGTCCGGCTTCGTGCGCGAGGCCTTCGAGACTGCGGCGATTCAACAAGGAAGGGGATCGCTTCGAGACAAGGTAAACGATGTTTTACAGGTACTAGGACGCTAAAAAGCCTATATATTCTTCCGTTTTAAAGGGATTTTACATGCTGAAATTTGTTACTTTTTAAAATCAACATTTTGTTAGCTTTCCAGTCCCTCTAAAACCCTAGGGGCTACCGAAGGCAAACTACGGTCGTTATAAGCTTTCTTCATCCGCTTCAATCGTTTTTATTGCGTGCAAAGAATTTGGGGCACTCTTAAAGGAGCTAGAAAGGCTAAATTTATTTTTCCAAGCTTTGCTAGCCCCTTTAAAGGCTCTTGAGCTCAAAAAAAATGGCTGCAGAAGAGCTCAAAAATCCTGATCCCAACACTAACCCGCTTGAAAAAGCATAATTCACCACTGATCAAGGAATCCTCACTTTCTTTGCTCGCTTGCGTTTGCCTCATTTGCTTGTCGTGCCGTGTGAACTTAAACATATATTAGAAGCCGTTTGAATTAAGTTTAGACCTAAAAACGTCAAAATGTAGCTAATAACTTTTTCATTTTTAATTTTCGTAGTTTCTCAGGTTTCTATTTATTCTTATTTTTAGCCGTTCTAACCTTTTTCTTTATTTCCCAAGGTAACACCAGCGCGTTTTGAATTTCTTAGCTAAAGTGGCCTCAAATAAAAACAGAGAAAATCTAGATAAAATAAATGAGAATATCAATAAAATCAGCTATCGACTTTTCTATGCTGAGGAAAGTTTGCATGCGCCAGCGAACAAAGGGGTTTTTAGGTTGAGAAAGCTCTAAAACGTTATTCAAAAATCGAACAAAATGACTTTCCTTACGTTGTGTGGAGTGTACTGTAGCCTGATCCCCCTACCCTGAAACCGCGTTTTTTATTTGGCAGGACTACGACTACGGAGACGGTCGGCGAAATGGTTTCCGGCAACGGGTTCGTAAGCCTACTTACAAGGAGACGTTTTTGAGTGTCGTCGGGACTTTGGCACGGGACCAAGCCTATCTTGTGCAGAATTTTACGCTGATTCCGAATCAGGTAACCGTTTTTGCGGAATAGCCAGTTCTCGAAAGTTATGAACGATTTAAACCTCAAAACAGCCCAAAATCGGCTACTTTCAATAGTCATAAAAAGCTTCGGAATAGGTTTTAGACAAAACCAGATAGTGCAACTTGTTCAGAAACAAATTCTCTATAAAATGTACCATCTTTTCCAGAATCATTAAAAAGTTGGAAAAATTTGATACATTGGGAGGTCCATAATTTTACAAAATTTTCCAAAAATTCCGCAGCTTTTTAGTTAAGTAGCTTATTTTATAGAGAATTTGTTTCTGAACAAGTTGCACTATCTGGTTTTGTCTAAAACCGATTTCGAAGCCTTTTATGTCTATTGAAAGTAGCCGATTTTGGACTGTTTTGAGGTTTAAATCATTCATAACTTTCGAGAACTGGCTATTCCGCAAAAACGGTTACCTGATTCGGAATCAGCGTAAAATTCTGCACAAGATAGGCTTGGTCCCGTGCCAAAGTCCCGACGACACTCAAAAACGTCTCCTTGTTAGTGTCGCCAGGCAGCAAAGATACAAAACATAAGAACAGTTCTTATTAGTTCATGTTGGTTGTGTCCTCATTCCGGTGGTGTTGGTTGGGCGGGAGAAAAATAGCGAAAGAGAGAGAGAGAGAGAGAGAGAGAGAGAGAGAGAGAGAGAGAGGGAGGAAGCGTCAGCGAGCGAGGGAGAGATAGAGGAGGGGAGCGAGAGAGAGAGAGAGGCTGAGGGAGAGAGAGAGGGAGAGAGGAGAGAGAGAGTGAGAGAGAGTGAGAGAGAGTGAGGGAGAGAGAGCAGAGAGCGAGAGAGATAGAAGGCGTGACAGCGAGAGCCCGGAGATAGAAAGAAGCAAGACACGGTTTTTCTGATTTCAAAATTCCCAACCAACCCCAAAAATTACTAACCACACCTATCCCCTGCATCTCTATAAAAATTATGCAAAATCAATATGCATGGCTGAGTTTTGGGTTCGATTGGGTTGCTGTTTAGCCCGAGTGCTTGTCGTGCATGAGATTGGCTAGGTTTTTTTGCTATGTACAATCTTCTGGCCTTTCATTTATAGAAATCGTTTAATTTCTCTTATTCTGAAATATACCTATTTTTCAGCGGCGCTCCCTCTACAGTCGTCACTTGCTGGACCTGGACTTTGATGAGGAGGTAAAATTTCCTCTTTTTTTTGTTACGTTACTATCTTTATAAATTTTCGCATTTCAGCAACGTAGACTCGAAATTTCAATGCTTTTGGTAAAGAGGCCGCAGTGGCTTTGGGTCTTGGGGATGAATTAAAAATTTTTTGGGAAAATTTGGGATGTCCGTCCAGGCTTCAGCTTTAAGTCACTTTTTGGGTTTTTCAATGTTCATGCTAGGTTTTATTCACGGTTTATTTTTTAGTGGATCATCCGCTTGGGAGAGAGATAAAAGGCAAGAAAGACAGAGAGAAAGAGAGCGAGACAGAGAAGAGAGAGAGAGAGAGAGAGAGAGAGAGAGAGAGAGTGAAAGAGAGAGTGGATGGAATTCTCAAAAAAATTTACAAAAAGCTTGCAAAATCTAAAGTTTGGGTGAAAGTAGGCTAACAGCGATTCCTTAGGAAAAACGTAATTCACAGTGCTTTTTAGGAAAAGATAAATTAGCAGAAACTCTTGATTAAAGCAACCGTTTGGAGAGAAATTCGCTAGTTATAAATAATAATATAAAAAGATCAAATTTTCCTTTTTGTTGGCGCTCAAAAATAACAAATAAGTTTTGGTTCCAAATATTGAGTTCTAATTTGCATACGTTTCACTAACAGATGCTCTCGAGCCGGGGGGACACCCTCGAGGTCCCTGGCCACGATTCGAGGCGTAGAACGAGCAAAACCTGGCACCGGGTATCGTTCTGGAGAGAGAGATACAGCGTTCTGTGTTCAGCTATCAATTAATTGTCTTTGACGATTTTTATACTTTATTTTTCTTTTAATGGTGGGTGGGGGAATGGTGGACGGGATAAATTTTCCTGATTGTTAATCGATATTTCGAAAAATTAAGATTTTTCGATTTATTCACTAACTTGAAAAAATAGTTTCCGTGCTATTGAGGCATCTAAAAAAATGAAATTTGGTGTCTCCACGTCAAAAAAAACTTTGAAAATGCGCTAAAAGATGGAAGACGGTTTTTTTCGCTAAGTCTGCCATTTTGAATCATTTTTAGCGACAATTGGCTTCCCAGTCTCTTTACAACGTGTAGACTGGAAAAAATAAGCTTTCTAAATACCCTAAGAATCCTAAATTCCACTACACTACGCTCCCATACACTGTTCTCCCTACCCCATAGCAGCCGGTTTTTTTTGGATGGCTTCCTTTAGTGTGCCTTCTATCATCTATCAATAGTTTCGATTGGTAGCGCAACATTTATGTGCTCTGCGTCCACAGTCGATACTAACGACCATTGCGTGTGCACGATTCTCGAGGGCCGTCCAAAATTTTGTGTTTTAGGACCCGCCAGCCCCGGAAGAGTACGACAACAACATGACCTATCCGTACAATAAATTCACCGGAGCTCGAACGGCCAAGCAGATCAAGGCTTATGGGAAGAGCTTGAGGGTAAGCGAGCGGAGTAGAGTAAGAAAACGAGAGAGAGAAAGAGAGAGCGAGAGAGAGAGAGAGAGAAGAGGGAGAGAGGGGGAGAGGGGAAGACGGGAAAAGAGAGCGAGGGAGAGGAGAGAGAGAGAGAGAGAGAGAGAATGAGAGAGAGAGAGAATGAGAGAGCGAGAGAGAAAAAGAGCGAGCGAGATGGAGAGAAACTAGCCAACATGTGGAGTAGAAGAGTTCCCTTGAGGATGCGGTAGCTAGCAGTGATTCTTTGGGGAACCGCAAACCGGAAGGTAAGCTTAGTTAGCAGTTGGCAGAAAACGTCGGAAATTAAAGAAAAAAACCGGCAAACCGCAGAAAAAAAAGGCAAAAACACACAACCAAACCAAAATAAAAACGTAAAACAAAAAGTTATGAGTATTAGTTGCACCCGCCCGGCCCCCTTATGGGCCCCTCCCAAAGAGAGGTGACCCCGTCAGAGGGAAGAAGCAACAACCGCCCGTGGCGGAGGGTCCTGGTTCGACCCCGGTCAGAAAACATTGCTTAGTCAAGTCACAACTAGAGTTAAAGCAAACAAAAGGCCGCCTAATTTAAATCAGAAACCATACAAATGTGGCGGGAGTGCAAAAATGCAGGTAGGGCACTAAAAATCACCCTGTTTTACGTAACGTATGCCTACCGCAGCAAAAAAAAAAAAAAAAAAACAAACGGCTCAAGCTGAAAAAATGTGAATTGTTGCCTGACCAAAAGCAAAAGAGACCGGGAGCCAAACCAGAACCCTCCGCCACAGAGGCAGACTAGTTAGCCACTACACCACCGACCTGCGCACACCCTGGGAGGGGCTCAAAAGGGCGGGCCGAAACGAGCAAAACAAAAAAGTCAAACCTTTGTATAACTTCCACTCGGAACCTCTCCCGACCTACAGACCAATTTGCTAAGAGGTTTGCCAATTTAAATGCACTCCCTAGTTAGAGTTTTTCTTTGGGGATCAGAGACGGTTAGCAAAAATTCGTAAGGAGCGTTTGGAGTTCATCACTTCCTTTAGGAACGAGGCCCAGTCTCTCCTCGAATCTTCCAGAAGCGTAACGGAAACGATCAACAATCGAGTGCTAGGGATACGTCACCACGTAAGTAACGTTTTATTGCATGGCGTGACGTGGCGAGTATATGAGATGTAGAGATCCACTGCTTTCCTGTAGCCGGGGTGGGCCAGCCAAAAAAAAACTCTAAAAATTGAGAATTTTCACAATTATCGTAAAAATAGGAAATCCGTATTTGGAAAACACAAAATTCTCTCTTTTTATTGAAACTGCAGATGAATGCGATCCGGTGCTTTGCGTAAAGCTCGAAAGCGAGAGAGACAGACAACGAGAGAGAGAGACGAGAGAGAGAGAGGAGAGAGAGATGCTGAATGCCAAGAAATGAAAATTTCAAAATCCATGGTATCTGCAACCTGTCACCATCCCTTTAAAACCGACCTGGCTGGCCCACCCTACCCATTTTTCCACGCGCATGCCCTAGCTGAAAATAACCCGCCGGAATGGTTTGTGGAGTCCGGAAATTTTTAGCGCAACCCGCCGGAATCCTGGGGGCCAGGCACCGGTTATCACTGCCCACTCCGGACGAGATCAACCTCAAGCGGAAACCCCCGAAAATCTCATTCGCCATGTACGACGAGACGATACCACCTATTGATCAAACTGCCCCACCGACGGCTAGGCGTAAGTTTTGTGGAATTGGCGTTTTTTTGGATTTGGATGATCATGTGTGCGCCTTAACCCGATGGCTTTTTGGTTTCGATATGGTGACAGGCATATAATGGAAAGTTAAAGCTAGATTAAGGAAGCAAAAAAGTTCAAAAATGTTGGTAAGAGAGGGAGAGAGAATGAGAGAGTGAGAGATAGAGCGAGAGAGTCAGTGACACGGGATAGAGAGAGAAGGAGAAAGCGTGTGGAAGCGAGAGAGCGTGAGAGAGAAAGAACTAAGGGAGAGAAGTTCGTGAAAAATCCAGCCGCATAAAACAACTCTTTCCCTGAGTTTAATTATGATTTTCGCAGTTTTACCGCACGCGAGTTTTTATCTAACTCTTGTAATAAACTTAAGCAGGTAGATTGGGGTATTTGGTATTTTAAAGGGAGCGTGACAGAACGGTGTCCTGGAAATGTTTTCCCAGTTTTTCCGAAATTGCGCACTCTTTAAGTCCGAAAAAGGGTTCAGAAGAGCGCTATGCAGCTGGGACTTCACCGTTTACGTTATGCAATGCCTGGGTTTTTTATTTATTATGGGATGGAAAATAAAAATACACTACGCACCTCTAAACACACCTACCACACCCCCTACAGGTTCCCCACGCGGCGCGACGGCGGCACCCCAAGCGCCCCCGCCGCCACCGCCACCCCCCACCGGGCCGCTAACCGTTTCAGGGTTGATGAACATTGTGTTCCCCTGTGCTAATGGATAGGTAACTAAGGCGCAAAAAAAAACGCATGCAAATTCTGGAATGGCCCGTTGTGATGTGGTGACGTGTGGTGCGGTGTGTTGTGTGGTTTCGCGCGAAAAATCAGGATCCTGGGAATCGAAAAATATCATAACTTTCTAGTTTGAAGGCCTAGCGTTTTGAATTTTTGACAGTAAGTGCAAATCACTGAACACTATAAATCAGCAAATTTAGCGCTTAAAATATTCGACGATAAGCAAATTGCAGTTAAAATACTATAAAATTTTCTAGTTTTTTGAGGTTTTCGGGCGAATTTTTCGAAATTCGCATGGTAGCTTCAAACATTAACGCGAATTAAGTAAAGACCTTAGCTTGAGAATTTCGTGCTTAAAATATTAAGTTATGAGAAAGTTAGCGCAAAAACACTAAAATTTGGAAGTTTTTCAAGGTTCTGGGGCCAAAATTTTTGGAATTAGCATGCCGCAATAGCCAAGCCAGAATTTTATGAATCAATGAGTATTCCTTCATTTCCAATAAGCTAAGGCACTAATTGTCACAAAAAAGTCGAGAATCTTGTCTTTATTTGCATAGAAGATCCCCCCCCTAAAGCCGTGCTTTGTTCACTGGCGTATGGTCCGGCTTTCAATTATAATTCTTAAAGAATAAAAGCCAAAATAAAATTGTTTTCAGAAACGCAGCGCAAAGTCTCCGGGGCGAAGAAGGTGTTCATCGTCGGCTGCGACGACGATAGGGCACTCAACCCAATCCAAGAAGAACCGTCTTTCCTGTCGCCCGATCGCCCTGATCCGCGTCGGTGTCGCACCACTTCCAGCAATAATTAGATTTGTAATCTTTATTGAATATACTTTCTTAACTTTCTATGGCTTTAATCAAGGATTGTGACTTTATCATTCCTGCCATTTGGGTGTTAGTTGGGGGGAAAATGGAGAAAAAAAAGCCCATATTTTTCTTTAGTGGTCAAGTTAGGCAAGCTGGCAAAGGTTTTATAGGAAGTTTCAAATTTGAATAATGAACTCAAATATACTTAAAAATTTTTATCAATAAAAGAGGCAAAAATATGTTTTTTTTTTCAATACGTTACGCCTATCATTAATGCGCGGTATCGGCTTCATCGATCGAGATCCACGTTTTTCCCGCGGAAATCCGAAACTGATTAAAAATTGAACAGAAAATTCATCTTGTGAGTTTATCTATCTCTATTGTAGTTTGTGACTTATATAATTAAGAAAATGAGCTAAAAATTCAATAACAATTTGATAGCTTATCCAAAGCTTTTTAGCTTTTCCTCCCGCCAGCGACCAAATTTGGCTCCATTTTCTGCATTTTTCGGGCCGATGCTAATTAGCCTGACTCCAAAATCCCGAAAATTGATCAAAATTTCCTGTCCAGCAGCCATTCCACGCTATTTTAATGTTCTGAAATTTTTGGTTTTTACTTCACAGTGCCCTACAATTTTTATTCTATTTTTGTCATCTATCTGGTACTTAAAAAGTTTCAAAGTGGATCCAATCTTCTCATGCAAATTGCTCTTTTTGTATTCTAAAAATTTCGTTTCAAAAATTATGAAATCGATCTGCCCCGTCGCCTTTAGATTGTGATTCTCTGTGTAAATTTAATTCCCCGAAATGGACTCTGAACTCTCGAAGAACCCCCAAAACTGGTCGATTTTGCCCGGTATTAAAGACAAGAAATTCCTTTCAAATTTGGTAATGCTTAAAAAATACTGATGTCTTATTTTCTCTTTCCCATCGACATATCCTTTGCATAATGATGATGGGTCGTGCGAATAAATGATTTTTTTTTGAGAAATTGTACTTTCTAAAGTTTTTCTGCACTTGACAACGGAAAAACGACACTGTTGTGTATTTCTATTTAAATTTCAATATATTCAAACAACAAAAAAATTTATTCATAAAGTCATAAATTATTGCTCCGCGCTGATTTCGTCCAAAAGCTTGGCAAGTATTTCGAGCTTCGGTTCTTCTTCTCCGGATGAGTTTCTGAAAATCGAGCTAGGAACTCGTAATTTAGAGAAAAAATCTAGAAGTTGTAAAGCCAAAGTTCAACCAGATTCACTTAAAAATACCAAGAAATCACGCAATAAAAATAAATTATTTACATCTCGGCGCTGATGTCAAGCAGCTTCATGCGGAAGTGATCGCCAGATTTCTTGACGTGGTCTTTGTGTCCTGTAAGGTGCTCTGTGTATCATCCAGTGTTGCTCTAGCCGCTTCCGAGATGAAAAAGCATACCATGGTTTTTGTTCTTGAGAGTTCCGCCTTGCACCCACATCCAAAAACCGTCACGCTCGTCGTTATCCTTGTGGCTAAGCTTCTCTGCTCTAAAGGAGGGCATCAAATTGTAGTCAAGAAAGAAAAGTCGCCTCCTTTTAGAGGTATGGGATGAAGGGTAGCGCGTAGGTTTAGTGAAGGTCTACTAACAAAAAGTTCTGGAAGAGTAACTCCTACGGAGAGGTGAGAGACATGCTAGCAAAATCTAGTTTATCGCCTAGCACGGCTACAAGCTTATATTCGAAGTCTTAGAGGAATAAATAAAGATAAAAGATTCCTCTGGGAAGGATAAACAACGGCATACAGTCAAAAAACATCCTTACCTTTCTGCCGTTCCAAGACCCTCAATCATCCCCTCAATTCCATGCGCATTTCCGCCCTTTGGATGACGGTCAGGTAGTGGGTTGATTCCAACGTCAACGTCTTCATCGTCTGGGATATTGTTGCGCAACTTTTCGTCGACCCAAGCTTCGGTCGGCTCTACTTTTGGGCAATGGATGTGGTTGCACGCGCCAGGGCCGAGGATGGGCTGAGGGAACTTCGTGGGTACTGGGTGACGCCAGTGGATGTTGTCGAACGATTTAGGATCAATGGGAACGTCAGGGGACTCAGTCGGCCTCCACATGTAATCGAGCGTAGGAGGTGGAGGTGTCTTGCCATCAAATAATTCGTCAACCTGCCATTGATCTCTTGGAGCAAGACGTGCCGGGTGTGGGTCCGGCCGCTCTTTTTGGTCATGTTCTTCTTGTCCATCCTCTACGCCATCCATGTCATCAAAAATGTCGTTCCGGAACTTGAAGTCTTGGGTTTCTTCATCTTGTGTAGGTTCCAAGTCTTCTTCCACGTCCTCTTCAGGTCTTGCTTCTTTCAAGCCGCGTGTCCCTGCGTACGGTCCCTGTGTGATGTCAACTGGCAGGAATCCTGTAGGTTCTACCTCCTCGTCAGGTTTTGCCTCCTTCAAGCCGCGCGTACCTACGTACGGTCCTTGCGTGATGGCAACTGGCAAAAATCCGGTGGGTTTCACATCGACATTTTCGTCAGGTTTTGCCTCTCTCAAGCCTCGCGTACCTTCATACGGCCCTTGCGTGATGGCAACTGGCAGGAATCCTGTAGGTTCCGCTTTGGCCTTGAACACAAGCTCTCCTCCAACGTCCACGCCAGCTTCTTTCAATCCTCGCGTACCTACGTAGGGCCCCTGCGTGATGTCCACTGGCAAAAATCCTGTTGGTTCCACCTCGTCTTGTACCGCAGTAACGTCAGGCTGCAAATTTTTCTGGTGGCTCTCGATCTGCGCTCCAGCTCCTTTTTCAGATCCTTCACCATCGGCAAGCCGACGTGCCCCTCCAACAGGTCCACTGCTCCCTAGAGGTGGGACGGTCCTCAGTTGGACGACCTCATCACCAGATTTGCCACCTCCGAAGTCGCCCACGAATCCGACCGGTCCAAGACGGCTCAACGGAGCTGGTAGGGCAGTGGGGACGTAGGTGACGACGACCCCGCTGGCGATGTTCTAAAAGGAGATCAGCAACAAAAAAAAACACAAAAAATCCAAGAAAAAATGATTCCAAAAACAAAAAAGTAAAAATCCCAAATAACCAAAAAATCTAGGCCCAGTGCCCCAAATCCTGCGGAACCTACTTCAAACACTATGGGCGCTGCTGTTGTAGCGATTGTAGGGGCCGCTGTTGGTGCAACTGTCGGCACAGCTGTGGAGGCCTCTCCTTGGGTTACCTAGGACTCAACGTGGAACCTTTGAAGCTCAGTTACCACTAGTTTTGGCACTGCAGTTGGCTGAAATTCTTGCGCAGTGGTGTCTACAGCCACTACTGTTGGTGCTACCGTCGGAACATCACCCTTCGTCACCTGGAACCTTACATCGATACCTTAGGCTAGCTTACCTCAAATGCAGGTGCTGCTGATGAAACCACTTCCGCAACGGTCGGTACTGCTGTTGAGATGCCACCACTTGTGGCCTAGGATGCAGGTAGAGTAGCTTAAGGCATAACTAGCTTACCACCACTGTAGGTGCCAACGATGACTGAATGCCTCCAACAGTCGTACCTACCGATGGTAGTTTCGGGGGTCGGGTATCGGGAAGCGGCAGCCCGGTCCAGATTACAGGGTATGTTCGGGTATTCACGGGCGCAGCTGATGACGATGCTACCTCCGGGGGTCTCGTATCAGGCAAGGGCTCCCCGGTCCAAATGACGGGATATGTCCGCGTAGTCTCGGGTGCAGCTGATGATGATGCCACCGTCGGTGGCCGGGTATCAGGCCGGGGTTGCCCTGTCCAAATCACAGGATAGGTCCGAGTGGTTTCGGGAGCAGCTGATGATGATGATGCGACCGGCGGGGGTCTCGAATTCGGTCGGGGCACCCCAGTCCAAATCACAGGATACGTCCGGGTGGTCTCGGGTGCAGCTGATGATGATCCTACTGTCGGGGGTCTGGTATCGGGCAGTGGCTGCCCAGTCGAAATCACGGGGTACGTCCGGGTGGCCTCGGGTGCGGCTGATGATGGTGGTATGGTTACGACGTCGCCCGTCGTTACCTGGGATGTCGGAGTTCTACGTAAATGAGTATTAGTATACCGCTACTACAGGTGGTGCTGATGATCGAGTTTCTTGAGCAGCTACTGTTGAAGCGACAGTTTGGACGTCTTCCTTTGTTACCTGGAACGTTAATAAGGTATATTCGCGCGAAATTACCACAACAGCTGGTGCTGCGCTTGATGGAGCTGCAGTGCCGATGTTTTCCTTCGTCACCTGATACCTGACTACCAAAGGTAAAAAGTACTCTACCACTGCAGGAGCTGCTGATGATTCAGCTTCTTGAACAGTATTTTCAATGCCAGCTACGCTTGCTGCTCCTCCGCTTGTCAACTGTTATTTTAATGTAAATTAATCCGGTGCACCAACCACTGTTGTAGGTACTGCTGAAGGTGCAACCTCTGGAACCTTAGTCTCCGCCTCGTCTACGACAATCTGAAAACTTACACAACTAAGGAGTATCCAGAAATAACACGAAACAGACCCTGTACACGAATCATTTGCTTTTCTTACCGGGACCTTGGGCTTTCTTGTCAAGTCCATGTCGAACCTCTTCTCCTCATATTCAACCGTTGGGGTCACCAATGGACTCTCGTCATTCAAAACCGGGTCCGCGTCAGTTGGTTGTATCACAAACGGCACTTCCGTAAGCGCATCGGTCTCATCAGTCTTCAGCTTTCGTCGTGGTTCCGGATGCTCTTGCTCCTTCGAGTCCGAGTCGCTGAACTTGTCGACCTCGTTCTCAAAATCCTTGACGAGGCGGAGGGTCTCGGACTCGAGGAGGGAGGCGTCGATCGGGGTCTCGACCTCGTCGACGGCTTGATCGAGGTGGTGAGCGGCTCTCTGGAGCGCTTTTTCGATCTTGGCTTTTCGGCTTGCCTTGAGTCGCGGGACATCTGGGTCGTGGGAGCCGCCTCCTGGAAGGCATTGGAACCTTTTAAGTTTGAAAAATTTAGCGTTTTTGTTTAGATAGTTTTGAAAGTCGCTGATTTTTCAAGTCGTTAAGTTTTAGGCATTTTTAGCAGAGGAAAACACATTTTCTACAATAAAAATAGAATTTTTATAATTTTTTGTAGTCTTTGATTACTAAAGGCTACTAAAAATTAAAAAAAACTTTAAGAAGTTCTTTTCTTACTCAAAACATCATAAAAATTGAATGTTACGAAAAGACGCAAAAATTCCTAACCTGACAACGCGCCGGCAGACGACAGTAGCCCGCATAGCAGGCCGAGGATCAGACGATGTTTCATCGCCGTTAAAATGTGGGATCCCTGGGCGGGCGTCTTTAATACGACATCCTCATAAATATTGATGTCAAACAAAAATAGTTTATTTTTATTTGAAACATTTTTTTTAATATTGCCGACGCAGGTTGGCGCTAGACGGCACGTCAATGGTTTTGAAGAGATTGGAAAATTATGTGGCTACAGTTTCCAAAAAAAATGCTGCGAAGAAAATGCTTTTGTCGAGATTTGTAGACTACCTCATTAATTTTTGTAATTTCGACCTTGTTTTACCCAAGTTAAAGCGAAACATTCTATTTTTCAAATTTTTATGTTAGCGGCGAGCCAAAAATATATTTTGTAATTAATTTTTTATTGATCCTTGTTGATTTTATTTTTCTGTATTTAGTTTTACTTTCTGTATTATTGCAAAGGTATCTGAGTTATTTATCCTCAAAATTAAACAAAAAAAAAATACAGCAAAAACGAGCTCCAAAATGAGATCAACACATTTGGCAATTGGGCTATGGATTTGACACCGTTAGGAGGGATTGAAAACGCAAAAAAGTGACGGGCAACATGTAAGAGAATCCAATTTGGAAGGTGTAAAAATAAGGTAACGAAACATTACGAGATTTAATAAGGGTTTTAAGAACAAGAACAAGGTCCTTTGGAGAGCTTAAAGCAAAATTTTTAAACAATACCCGATTCAAAAAAATACACAGCTGGGGGCAATAGGGACACCGGGGGACTTACAAAATTCATGGGGCTGACATGGTCAAACGATCACAAAAGTGGAGAGCACATCAATTTTTGACTCCTTTTTTCGGTCTCCTTATCAAGGATACGGTAGGCGCGGGATACAAGTCGACAACGACAAAAAATGGAGGGTAACGAAATTAATGATTGGTACACTTGAAACCACCGAAAAAAATGGATATGTGTGCAGAGTAAAGGATTTGAACAAAAGATTCGAAAGTAAAGGCGGAACTGAAAGTATACAAGAGAGTCCGTTTTTCCGGTTCGACTGTACGTTAAAAGACTGTAACAAACATACAAAACGCAATTTCACCCTCTCGATGCATTCTAGTGACTTTTCAATTACTTAAAGTTATCGTTTTCACTTCCGAATTCCTTTAGAAGTGAATAAACGGCTTGGGACTTGGGTAAAGTTTGAAGAAAATCGTCAAGAGTATTAGGAAGCCTCAAAAGAGCATGCAGAAGTATTTAGATGACGTTAACCTAGAGCCATTCAATCGACGACGTCGCCGATGCGTCATTATGCGTATTGGCTGGTGGTACACTTGCTGCTGCAGAGATGCTCCTCGGTGGTGAATCCATGCTCATCGCATCGCGATCAACGGGGAGATCCAGCATTGAAGCTCTCTCATGACCGTTGGCCCCAACGAGTAGAGTGGTCGGCTTCTCGAGGTAGGTGGCGCTCCTGAAAAAGCTTATAGAATTTTTATGCGATTTTTACAAATCTATGCTTGGGTTTTTGCTGGTCCCTAGCGGAAAAAATTCTTAGACGTCTTCGCTTAAATTGATTTCTAGTGCCAGAAAACCCAGCCAGGCCAAGTTTCCTTCCATAATGAATGGCACAGACCGGTCTCATCGGTTACGGACGCAAATAAAGAGAGAGTGAGAAAGAGGGAGAAAGAGAGAGAAAGAGCGAGAGAGCGAGAGAGAGAGAGAGAGAGAGAGAGAGAGACGGAGAGAGAAGAGAGAGCGCGAGCGAGGGGGAAAGGCAGACTCGCCTTTTCTCGCGACCCCAAAGTTTCAGTTTCTTCATTTCGAACCCACGCTCTCCTGAGGGCAAAAAGCCACGAGGTCAAATAAAGGGGGTGTTGATAATGGCTGGGGTGGAAAAAACAATTTTGGACATCGGGACAACGGGTGGGATTGAACCCTGGTGACGGCGGGGGTGCCTGGGGGTGTCTAGCCGAGCTGATGTGTGTTTTAAAGGGAACGTGACAGGAGCAAGAAGTGGTAATGAAGTTCATCGTTGGTTCGCGAATAGCGTCTAGCCGAATAGCGAAAAGGAGTTTAAATGCTATGGAGATATTGGAATGACAAGCTTTAAAAGAATAGAAGCGCCAGACGGAAAGACGAACAGGAAAAAAGCTTAATTATTTTTGGGTCTAGAGTTTCGAAGGGCAAGACAATTTTTGGGAATTGAGAAGCAACCGCAGCCGTAATTAACCACATGACAGACATTAAAAGTAGAGGTGCGGCAATAAAATCAAAAGATAAATGTGTTACCTGACGATCTGCCGAGGGCTACAGAAAAAAGGGAATGTAGCAAACTTTTAATGTATGAAGTAAACAACGATACCCTCTAGGCCTTCCAGCCATTTTGTTAGCTACTCACCTAAACGGTCGCTTTACCCTCGTCCTGAAGGGCGAATTCTTCAGCAGCAAATTTCCAGTGTCAAGCCCTGCGGCTTTTAGGTGGCTGCCCATCTAAAGACGTTTGAAATTATACAGATTAATAAGTCAGAAATATAAAAAATCTTAGGCACTACCTGTTGGATGTTCTTCCATAGCGGCGCTCCATTAGCACTGCCATTGCTGTTACCATCTGCTATTAATGTGCTCGCTGTACTTCTGACTCCATTGGCAGTACGGCCAGAATTCCGAAGGTTCCTAAAGAATAGATATTGATCCGAAAATGACGAGAGAGAGAGAGAGAGAGAGAGAGAGAGAGCGATAGAGAGGGAGAGAGGGACAGACAGTGATAGGACTGATATCAATACCTGTTTAAAAACGCATAAAACAGCCAATTGAACGCGCTCTGGGTGTACGGTAGCGCGTGCAGCATGTAGAAAAGGAAGATCGGTACTGATGGCATTTCTTCACGTTCAAATGCAGAAGTTGTCACTGCGGCACTGATGTTGAGTGGGGATTTCTAAAAACAAAAAATTAGAGCCTGGCAAGTCCATTACCGTATGATGGGGATCGTCGCCGATGCGATTCGTTTGGGTGTGGTTCTGGGGCGGGCTGTAGGATGACGTTGAGTTGTCATCGGTCTCGTGGTCGTCCATTAGGTCTGAAAAATCGTATTTTTGCATAATTTTTTGTTGTGGTTTCCAGTGATTTTCCCTTTCTTCCGTTTTTCTGCTGAATTTAACTCCAATAGGTTTATTTTTATAACAAAATCCAAAATTTACATTTTTTGGCACATCTCTCTCCCGCTCTCACTTGAATTCTGTTTTTTTTTCTCGCACTTTCTCGGTTCCCTCACTTTCTCTCGTTCTATTGCTGTCTCTCTCGCCATTTCTCTCGATTTCGCTATCTCTCTGGCTATCGCTCTCACTTTCTCTCCATCCGCCCACGCTCTCCTTTCAAAATCAAACCCCTATGTCCCAAATCTTTTCCATAACAACCCAATTTACTCCCTTGTCTCGGGTTACGATGTGGCCCTTCTTAGGGCCCAGGTGGGCCATAGAAAACCCATTTGGGCCTCTAGACCCCAAATATTTTTGCGCCAATCCCCCGTCCAATCAGTGTGCTTCTGTAACCCAGGGTCCCGGCACGGCCCACTCTTGTGAGGTTCTAGAATATTCTAATGTGTCCTTGTGCCTGGCTGGGGGCTACCTGCCGAGAATTACGTGGGCTGAGGAGCAGTAGAGGAAGAAGACGACGGCGACGAGGAGGAGGAAGAGGCGGAGGAGAATGAAAAGGGGAGGAGGTGGTTATGCTAAGAACTAAAAACCCTGGAACCACTTTACTGGTCTCAACTTTCCCACTAATAAGGGCCATTCACGGGAGCCTGGTGGTTGGGGTAGTCTAGGTTCGACTGCAGCTGAGAATTCGAAATTTCAAGTTTTTCTCGAGTTGTGTGTGTTCTAGACTGGAAACCGGTGCTGAACAAGAAAGTGAAAAAGTTGTGTTTTTGGTTCTGAAAAATTCCGAATTCCTGGAGCGCGAGAAAATACAGAACGCACAACTTTGCGTACTAACTAAGCCTAAGCTTAAGCCTAAGCCTAAGTCGAAGCCTAAGCCCAGACCTAAGCTCAAGCCCAAGCCTAAGCCACGGTACTTCCTTTCCGTTTCCAACCCCCAAAATTATAAAACCAAAAAACAGAACTTCCTAATCTCTTCTCGCTGACCATAGGCCAAAAAACGGAAACATGTTTTTTCTGGGATTCGCATAATTAGCCTTTGAAAACGACCGGATTATCTGACCACACGCTAGAATACGCATATCTAATCCTGTCATATAACAAAAGAAAGTTTTTAGAGGGTTCCATTTCAACCAAGGAAGGACTTCCCCGATTTGGAAAAACCCTGGAAAACAAGGAACATAGAGCAAAGACTTGGGGTGGATCAGGATCTGTTTTGGATTAGGAACGCCCAACTACACGTAAGCAACTTTTGTTAATGTCTTCCGCAGATTATGAGACCGATTCCGCTTGGGCTTGAGGGTTTCCAGATGCAAAATGAGCAAAAAAACGCAATTTTTTTGAAAAAACTTTAAATTCTGTTACCGAGGCTGATTTCAAAGCCCTAAAGTCTGTTGCCCGGGGAACGGCTTGAAGATCCGGATCCGCATCCGGATAAGTCGGAAATTGGGCTTTAAAACATTGTTGTATTGGCCTAAGCCTAAACATCTAGCTAGATTTAATGTCTTCGAGGTACCTTCAAAGCCCCGAGAAAAATGGCTTTCAGAAATAGTACCATTAACCTAGCCTTTCGAGGCCGAAAGCTTCACAATACCGAATGGTTATACAAAATTTTTACAAAAGTAAGCATTCAGGTTACGCGCTTAGGCATTACGACATGAAAATAGTCTTACTGCAAGTTCGAAAAGTCCCTGTCGCGGTTTTACCACTATATTCCTATTTACGAAGACCCTGACCACCTCGTGCTTGCTCCGATTTCCTCACAACATCCTTGAAACAAACACATAGGACGCGCGGCTTTTCTGGTATTTCCCCCTTTCTTGGTCCTAGTTAGACCAAAACGTGGGCGCCGCCAGCCAGATGATGGCCAAAATATATTGAGAAGGGGCCACAGAAGCCATGTGTGTGGAGGTATCACATTTCATTTTCTAGCGCTCTGCTGGCCCTGTGGAAATGGGCGAAAAAGAGGGGGCCTATTTGGGAGTGGGCCACTCTTTTTTGCATTGCTTCTCTAAAGTCATCATCTAGGGGCCTTGGGACTCTATTTTGGGGCTTAGATAGCCCTATGGAATTCTATAGTTGCATGAGGGTGGACCGGATTTAGATCGGCCTGGGAATTGAAAGTGAGAAGTGTTGAAATGAGTCATCGGAGGGAGAGAGAGAGAAAAAGAGAGAAAGAAGCAGAGAGATATGACGTTTTCTAACCAACGATTTGCGCTATGGATGACGCAATATCAGAAAGGTACCGTAATCGACCAAACCATGCTAGGAAAAGTTTTTAAAGGGAATTGGAAGCGTAAAAATCTACCTTTGTTCATTACTAGTTCTCGACAACTACGGAAAGCGTCTAGGAACCTTCGATAAATTCATTTTACAGCGAACAAAGCCATATTGCCCAATTCTAAAAAATCCAGATTTGCTGTTGGGTGTATTTTAGAACGTCATGTAGCTCTCGAGACCTAGTTTATAGAATGGGGTCGATTTTCGAACTGCCTCCTCCCTTTAAAGATTTCCAACGGATCATAACATGGCCTAAAATCAGGTGCTATGGAATCTCAAGTTCAGTTTTTTGAACTTCACTATTTTCAGCTTTTCCATTTTTTAATGAAGCAAAAAATTCCCTGCTGACCCGAATTCCATTTCGCCGATTCACTTTTCCGTTCCGTGGATTTTAGCGTTGTTTTTGACAGCTCCAGCGAGTGAACTGCACGTCACTTTTCCCCCGGCAGCACCCAAAAGTTCCCAGCCCCTTGAAATCAATCCTCCCCCACTCCACTACTTCCAGAAGGCGCCAATTTTCCCGTTACCCACACCGGCGAGGACACCGGCCCCGGCAAATCGTAAACACGATTCGGATTCTGACGTTTTTTTAGACACTTGGTCAGGGATAGAGAGAGGGAGCGGGGAGAGAGAGCAAGAGAGAGAGAGAGAGAGAGAGAGAGAGAGAGAGAGCGAAGAATCTAAAATTCAGACCAACTGTCCCCTGTGTCCACTGGCCAGTTCCGTAGTCGTAGAACCGCGGCTCGAATTTCAAGAAAACAGTTTTGCAATTGGGACCTTGCCGAGTTTTAAAATAAACAGATTTCGCGTGCATACGCAGGTGCAGGGAGGTGCAAGGAGTACTCCGGCGTTCGCTCTACCGCAAGATCAGTTCAAGTACTCACGGGAACGCTCGTAAGGTGTAAAGTTCGGAAATTTGACCCCTGAAGTAGAAAGAGAGCGGAATTGAGTGGATTGATTTTAAGGAACCGTTCGAGCCAAAATCAAGAAGCTGAAGTCAAGAATATTGCGAATTGTACTAGTGTATTCGAGCTTCATTTAGGATTTCGTCTTACTGTAGCAAAATCGGGATGCCTGAAAAAGCCTTATAAGTAAAATAACGCGTTTCCCAGTGTATTTAACGTAATTTTGCTAAGCTACTCCGTTAAAAAAACTTTAAACTGTTATCATACCCGGCTCACCAAAATTTTAGATTTTTGAAGATCAGTTTGTTGACGTTCCGGGCCGGTTAGCCCTGTTTCCAGGAAATTTGAGGTATTTTCAGATCCGCAAAAATTTCCTAACGACCCTGAAGGCAAGATAGGGACACGGTCACCGTACCCCACCCGCCCATCAAGTGGCGCAAATTAAGCGCCGATACCTGATAACAAAAACAATAAGGAATTTCACCCAAATCCCTCAGGGTTTTTTCAGGTGTTGAAAATATTGTCTTACAAAATTTTTCCAATTTTTTTTAGGGGCCCATCATCTTCTGGAAGGAGGTGGAGGAACGGCGAAGATAATCAATTGGTTGGGGGTATTTCATGAATAAGTGAGTATTCAGGCGTCACGGCATGGGTCGGCTATTGTTTAGAGGCGCATAAGGACGAGGAGGCGTGCAAATGGGAGGAAAAAGAAGCAGATAATTATCCTTCGCAAGATGTAAAATAATCGATTTTAGGGGGATGTTAGAAGTGGCGTTGCGTAGCCAACTCTTTACACTAAAGCCTAATTTTAATAATTCAAGTCGGAGCCTGAGAGAGAGCGTGGGAGAGAGACTGAGAGGGAATGAAAAAGACATAGAGCGAGAGCGTGAAATGGCGAGAGGGATTAAAGTTAAATGGGAGAGCGCGAGTGAGAGATAGAGAGAAGGAGAGTACCGGAAGAACTCTTGTTGCGAGAAAAGCGCGGATTTTACCAAAATATCTGTTTTTTTAAGGGCCACACCTATATAATCTATTGCCTCAGTTTTTACTTAAAAACTTAACTTTACTTAATTCCGAATTTCTCTTTCCACATTCAAATGGCAAATAAGATAAGCTATTCCAAGACATTCAAGCTCCCACCTCCAGCCAGAGAATGGTGCAACTGCATGGTGAAGTAAGGCGTCCAGCAGATGAAGTAGAAGGCGACCACCATCACCGAACATTTGACAACTCTTGACAGCGAGATGGAGGTCTTTCGGCCGACCGAGGAGATTCTGGTGTGACGGTAGAGCTTAAAAATACAATTAAAGGTATAATCAAGTGGTCTTAATATGCGGATACCTTAAAAGTTCTAATGCATAAAACGTTATGTTAGGGTTTTTAAAGGAAGTGTGACAACTAGTTAGTACGATAGTCAAGCTTGCTCGAATTTTCTGCTTTTCTCTCGGGCTTTCTCTCTCTCTCTCTCTCTCTCTCTGTCCCTTTTACTCCCTTAGCCCCGTTAAAAATCCTGATGCCGTTTTTTCAATTTCCGGATCCTGTTATTCCATTCCTCCACTTTCCATGTATTTTCAGCGTTGCACCTCATGCTTTTTGCTCAGGTTTCTTCTTGTGTGTGACACACACAAAAACCCAAACCACCCAAATACCCCAACAAATAAACCAATTTCCGCTGCAATCCTGTAAACGCCCCCCCCCCACCCCATTTATAGCCATTCAGGGCATTTTGGCCGGACATGAGGGGGCGATTGTTCAATTTTTGAGGAAGGAGAGAGCGCAATAGAGAGAGCGAGAGAGTGAGAGAGAGCTGGAGGGATAGAGGGCGAGAGAGTGAGAGAGAGCGAGAGACAGGGAAAGAGAGACAGAGAGAGAGAGAAATAGAGAGAGGGAGAGAGGGAGAGATAGAGAGAGAGAGAGAGAGAGAGAGAGAGAGAGAGAGAGAGCGCACGTGCCAACCCTTTTTTAAAGGCGTGTGTACGCGAGACAACAAAAATTCGGGGGCCCCCAATTGAGTGTAGAGGCACGGGAGAACAACCTCTTTTTTCTGAAGGCGCACATGAATGCGCCAAACAACGGAACGCTCGCGATTCCACCCTCTAAAATACGCAAAAAAACAAATGGGGGCTGCGGCCGAAGGATGCGTCCTCTACGACTAGATGAATGATGAGTGCAAAGGTGGGATAATTCAGTCGATTTGTAGTGTAAAAAGTGCGAGGAAAAATATACAGAATTCCCGCAAGAATTCATCAAGTTTTTTAAAGGAATCTGGCTAGTTGCCCCAGGCCTTTCGAGTTTGAGTTTTCCCTAAGGGTCGCAGCTGGTTGCCCGGGCTTTAAAGGTCCACCAGGAAATTCCTAAATGCTCTTTGATTTCCTAGATTCTAAAGGGATGATGACAAGAATTTCACTAACAGGGTTTCAATTCCTAAATGATCTTCGCTAGCTACCCCTGGTTTCAAGGCATAGTGTCATTAAGCCGACTCCAATTTTCGGATTCCTGACTGACTCGGCTGGATTGCCCGGGAATTTCAGGGATGGTGAGACGGCTTCAAAATCAGGATTTAGATTCCTAAAGGATCTTCGCTAGCCACATCGAGATTTTAAAGCGATGGACCAGGATTTTACTACCAAATGGACCATAGAGCTGCCAATTCCTAAAAATCTGCGCTAGCTGCCCCAAGTCTTAAAAGAATCGTGACAGCAGTTTTCGATTAGGAGTTCTGTTCATAGATGGTCTCCGCTAGTTAACCCAAATTTTAAAGATCCTAACAGTGGTTTCATTATTAGAATTTTCATTACTAGTTTTCCTTCCGCTTCCACTTTTCTTATTATTCTCGAATTTCCAAAAGTTGCAAATTCCAGACACCCACCGCAATCCCATTCTTCCACACGTATCACCCTCAAAAACCACACACACTACTCCCCCACACCCATTTTTTGCACCATACGTCGGCCCGTCCGGGCCCCGTAGATTCTACAAATTCGTGGGATCTGCCCCCAGCTGCTAGATTGGCAGGTTGAGCTCAGACTACTAAGCTTTGTGATGGGAAAATGGGTAGCCCTCCTGGAAGGGGGAACGGATCGAAAATAGCTACTCAAACACCTGGAAATAGGCAAAAATGGGCACGTAACTGATTCGGAAAAATTGTTCGGAATTTTCGGGTTCAAAGAGGTACAAAAAGGCGTACAAAATGGTCAAATCACAGTGCCAAAAAAAGTTAAACAACTTTGAAAGATCTCACCTTGTTTAAAATGGCCGTGTAGACGGAGCAGATGAGCATCAGCGGGAGCACGAAACAGGCCATCGCCTAGAAACATGTCGTAATCTATACCTAGGGGCTCGTCTTGCTTTCAGTATCCTCTCTCTCTCTCTCTCTCTCTCTCTCTCTCTTCCCTCTCTCTTTCTCGCCTCTCCTTTTCTCTCTCCTGACAAAATACCGTACCTGCGCCAAGTCAAAATACCCGCGTATCCGGAGTGTGCACTTATCGACTAACACCACTGGTGTCAACGGCATCGTCTCGATCTGAAAATTGACAACTTTGATTTGTAGAATTTTTAATAGATCGTTTAATTAGTTATAGCTTTGCTTTTTCGTCAAACGTCATATTTTGCGTTCCGGGAAACAACTTTTTACATCAAATTTCGAGTATTTTTTAGTTTGTTGGTATTTGTTGAGGAATTTATTTTCCACCCCCACTGCCAGAATGCCGGCTGTATTATTGGGCGTGGGTGGAGGGGAGGAGAGGAATTTTTGCGATTTTCCTTTCTTCTTCAATATGCGACCACCACAGGCGGCTGTGCATACGGAAGGGAGGCGAGTAGGGGGAAGGGATGCTGTGCTCCAGGGCCGAGTTGGGCCAGGATTTTTATAGGAAAAAAGTGGAAAAAATATTTGACGTTTTTCATTCCATGAGATGAAGATCAAAGACTAAATTCCAGCAGTCAGAGGTGAGAAAAATCCGTATTTGGGCCGGTTTTTTAAATTAAATTGGTTTATTCAAATCCAAAAATTTTTTTTTGTCGGTCATTAATAAAAATTCGCAGTTAAAGTTAGTTAATTTGCAAAATTAAAAAAAACGCGTTTTCTGATTAACCCGTACAAAAGTCTGAATCTTAGGAATTAAAATTGCAAGATCAGCGGATTTTCGTGATCTTCCCGATTTATGCAAATTTTATTTAGCCGATTTTGGTATATTTTTGCCTCTTCTATTTCGTTTTCCCCTAAAGCCTATATATCTTAATCCCAGAGCGTTCTTTGCTATTTCTACTTCTGTTTTTCTCCCTAAGAGTATTTTGATTTGAACATTAGGCATAAAAACAGCACCTTGAAAACACGTCGACAATGGAAAACTGGTCATTGGGATTATCGCCCTGCAACTTCACTACGCATTTCTATGCGGCAACGTGACGCCTTGTTTTTGTTAGCACATTGTGCCTCGGAGTAGCGGATCAGAAACAGCAAATGAAAACGTTAAGCAAGGAATGCAAAAAGTGCTGATTTTTACTAGGATTGAGACTACGCATGACTACAAAAATACGTTTACACGCCGAAATTTTGCCGAAAATGGCAAATTCCGAAAAATTGGGAAAAAATTTAGACAGTTTTTCTGTAATGCTTAGGTGTGCGCATTAATAGAGCGATTTCAAAATTTTTGAACACTACGTATAAAAATTTTCATGCTAAAAGCAGTACTGAATCCGACATTTGATACAATAATTCCGAGACGCTATGGCTTTTGACGTATTTTAGTATGATTTACGCGCATTAATGAAAAGTATCGGAGCGCTTTGATAATTCAAATTGTGGTTTCAAACTATTTTTGTGGCTCGAAATTTACGATTCACAATTTTTCCAAGACGAAACTATTTACTACACCGTACGTTGCGAGTTAAGCACATTAATGCCGGAGATTTTTAGATCCTAACTCACGGGTATCTGCCACGAGAACGTCATTTAGGTGTTTTCCGAGACTCTACGATTTACTACAGCCCTCTCGAGTTTCAGGTAATTCCCGAGAACTCACGATAATCATCCCATTCCGTTCCCCCGCTAACTACCCAACCCTAGCTCATCGGCCCTCAACTATACTACTTTGCTCTGGCCATTCCCCCCTGGGTGGTGCGTGTGTAATTCGTGCAAATTCGGATAGGGGGCCAGAAGCCGGGGCTGGCTGGTCATACGGGAACGCGTCAGCTGGGCCCAAGGCTCCGCTTAAAGCCCAGGCAATTGAAGCCCGAGAATGAGCCAAAAGTTTGGGGCCGATGGTTTTATGGCGATTCTTTAGCCTTGGCTTTGTTTGGGGAAGAGAGAGGGCGAGGGAGAGCGAGAGAAAGAGAGAGAAAGAACGGAAAAAAGAAATACGCAACGTAGAAGCCACGTATAGTGCGTTAGAATACAAACTCAAAATTTACTCACCTTAGCATGAACCCCGATGGGAACGATGAACGTCATCGACAGCAAGACGCACACCAGCACGACGAACAGGGCAAATTGCGTCTGGCGCATCCAGACTAGGGTTGGCTAAAAATTTGGGTTTTTGCTGCATCTCTCTCGCTGTCTCTCCCTCTCTCTATCTCTGGCTCTATCTCCCTCTTTCTTTCACTCGCTCTCTCTCTCCCCCCCTTGTCTCTTTATCTCTCCCGTTATCGCTCGCTTTGGTTGTTGAATCCACCCCTTTAAAATCGAAAACCTGGTTTTTGCGGGTTTTGGCTGCCTTATGGATTTTACCGTTTCGGAGACATGCGCAGCTTATAGACGTCGTAATCGATTACGTAATTAAATCAGTCACGCGCTTCGCGCGTGTTCGGTGCCTGTGCGTCGCGTGTGCGTCGCGTGTACGTTACGTGTTCACTGCGCGTATTTATTTAGTTCTATGCTAATCTTGCGCACGTAACGGTCGCCTTACGTGTCGATACCGCGAAAAATTTCTAAGAGACCCAAAGACAAAAAAATTATCTCTTGGTCATCCCTTTCAAACTCTAATCCCCTTGTTCCGCTTTGTATACATACAATCCCACCCCCACAGGACCACACACGATGACTCGCCACCCCGACCATCACTCACGCTCCTCATTAGCAAAAGTACCCGGCTGGGCCCCTTTCAAGTGGACGCCGTTCTTCCGCCGCTTTTTCTCATCATCTCCCACCTCGAGGGTCTTTGATTTGCTCATCCCTAGCTTGCAAATTAGGTGGATTCCAGCATGGCATAGACGAAAAGCGTCAAAAAGTTGTCATGCGGAATTTTTGGAAGTGCGAGGGTTTTGTGTTTTAGCGTTTGAGTTTGAGCTCGAATTTTGATGAGGTGGTACTGATTTTTTTGTTTTTTTCTGATTTTAGGGTAAATGAATACTGGCCTAAAAAACGTCCAGAAGCTGCTTTTGGCTTCCGTTACTAGACCCATAGAATTTTTCCTCACCTTGCAAACCGCAATATAGCGGTCAATCGACAACGCGGTGAGCACCATCGGTGATAGCGTCTTGTTCACCCCCTCGCAAATGTAGAAAAACTTGCATATACCCAGGCTGAAGGGCCACCTGAAAAGAACATTAGTGAGAGAGAGCGAGAGAAAGAGAGAGACATACATACTGAGAAAGAGCAAGATATAGAGAGAGCATGAACGTACCTGAGCATCACCAGGTCCGAGACGAGCAATGGAATCGGTAAAAATGAGACCAAGTCCACGACTGAGAGTAGTAACAAGTAGATGAAGGCTGACGACTGGATCGTTGGCTTGTGGGGTCGGCCTCCTGAAAATATGCTTGATTACGATGAAAAATTTCTCTTTCTCTCTCTCTCTCTCTCTCTCTCTCTCTTTTCTTTTCTCTCTTTTGCTTTCTCGCCCCCCCCGTCTCTCGCTGAACTCGACCGCAACCCAAAAAAAATATTTTGACCTAATCCTCCCATTTTTATTTGCCCAAACCATCAAGAAATCGTACAGAAATATAGCGAACCGTTCCCAATTCTAGGCGCATTTTAGAGAGCATCGGGTGCCAAAACATGTGTTTCCCGGTCCAGCCTGCGCCTGCAAACACTCCAAAAGATGCTGGGCGGTAGCTGGGGGCAAAAGAGGCCAGAGATTGTGGTGGGAGAATCCAGAAGGCGCCGAGATGGCAATAGGCAATAGAATCCGTGCTAAGGGATCGGGTTACCTGCACCTTTAAGGGGTAAAAATACGAGTGTTTTCATGGTTTTTGGGTTGTACTCTAGATTTGTAGCCGATTTTTGATCGAAACACTACGACACGAGATGGAAAAAATTTCTGCGTGCTTTTCCGGTTCGCGATGCGCGCGTGCAAAGTCGAACTAAGAATGCGTTTTAAAGGGATAGTGACAGCTAGTTTCGGAACATTTGCCTTAATGCGCAGTCATGGTTTTTGTCTATAGGTATTTAAATTTTTTGGAACACTACCTGTCGCACATCCCAACAACTGTGAGAGCACGGTCCACATCACCCATAAATTTCCGCACAGCCCGAATACAGCCAACTGCACGTAGACGGCGATCACGGCTATCACCGCCGGCTGTAGATGCGACTCGGGCTCTGTGTCGTTCATCGCTGCAAAAGAATTATTACGAAGATCGCTAACACCACTACAAAAAAAGAATAGACGTTCAAAAATCACCACAGAAAATTGAGAAAGTAACATTACAGAGTTTTATGCGATTTTCCCGAGCTGTAGGCTGCAAAAAACCGGCGCAAAATCATGCAACAATGATCTTCGAATTCTTAGAAATTTTGAGGAGGAAATGAGCAACAGTTGGCAAGAAAAGAGCAAAGATCGAGGCCTGAATTGCACCGGAAATTAGTGCAATAAGGAAGTTGAAAACTGCTACATATATAGTTTCTAGCCGAAATTTTGGAAAATTGAGCAATTTCCGATACAAAATGGACAACACGAAATTTTGGGGATTTGGACAAATTTCAATTGGTTTGGCAAAAACGGGATTCGTTTGCAAAAAAAGTGAATCACTTTAAAAAAAGATTTTTAAGCGTATTATAAGCAGGGTTAGGGAGAGCCCGTCGAGGAGCCATGAAGCTTCCGAAGACAAAAATCAAGCTGGAATGGTTACGGAACAGGCTTTAGACACATTTAAAAATTAAACGCAGTTTTTACCAAAAATAAGGAAAGGAAATCTCAATATCCTCTAAAGAAGTAGCCGAAAAATCGCCCAAAAAATATGAAAACTCCTCGGCCAAGAAAGGAACACACAGATCTTTCCCTCGCTCCTATCCGACCGGCCGGGCGGTTCCTGAATGCCATTCGTATGTATGGCCAGGCGGGCGGTGTCTGTCTGTCTGTCTGTGTGTCCATCCGTAGGTGTGTGTCCGTCCGTCCTGTCCGTTTGTGTAGAGTGGAGGTGGGGCCCCGTATGGCCCACCCGGCCCCGCCCCTTTCTATGGCCCCCCGCGGGACCACCCACCGTGCGCTCAGAAGGGGTTTAAAGGGGTTAGGGAAGGCAAAATTGAATGGCTATATAATTCAAGAGTAGATTTTTAAAGGTGCCTGGAAGACAGATGTGTACAGCAGAGATACAGAGGTGTATGCAGCAAGGTGGGGGTTTTAAAGGGGGTTTAAAGTGAAAAGCTTCACATTCTAGCTCAGAGAATTTGATGTTTAATCTTTAGAAGACGACGATTAATTACAAAAGCCCCTCAAGCACTGAATTTCCAGGTCAAAAGTATACAGATTAGCATAGAAAACGAAAATTCATAGCTACAGAGCTGGGAACGCCGACAAATAAATCTATTAAAATGCGGGTCGAGGCCGAGCCATTTAGATTTGAATTTTACGAGCAATAAAATTCGATTGGTCAGTCGAGCCGAACGCTGTAATATTTAGTAAAATTTAAACGGCAATTTGGGCTTAAAACCAATTTGAATTCAATAAAAATTTCTCTATTTATTTTGTTGCTAGATATAGCGGTTACAGCAAAAAAAAACTTAAAATTAAATTGTAAAACACCAAATATTGACAAAGCAAAGTTCTTGGCTTTTAAAGTTTTAGATAAATATAAAAATGCTTTGATAAAGAGTTAAGAATCTCCAAAATTGAGTAATACAATTTTACCATGAAAAACTCTCGAAAACGACAATTTTACGCACATTTTGTAGAATTAATAAGGCTTACAGAAACTTTTCGCAAAATGTGAGGCGTGGATACACCTGAAAAATAGGGGCCTGTAAAAACGTATCATGTTTCAATGTTGTCATTAGTACATCTTCGTAAATAATCAGCTTTCAAACATAAACAAATAACACGGGGCGTGGAGGCGCGATTTTTTCGAACTGATAGCAGGGGTGAGGCTGCCAAACGCGGCACGTCGTTCCTCGCCTTTCCCATCCGGCGGCCCGCCACCGAAAACAGGCAATTTTACAAATTGTTGTTGTATGTGCCGTTGAAAATGCGATTTTTGTGCCCCCGGCTTTTTGGATGAGTCAAGAGAGGGGTGGAAATTATCGGACATTCGAATTCTCGGAATCCGATGAGTGTGGTGAGGTCCATTTGTTTTGGTCGGAAAGTGTAGAAAAATTAGTCAGAACCTGTAAAAAACATAAGTTCAAAAAATCCAGGGATCGAAAATGTTCTATTCTGGGTTCTGGGGTACTGTAGAGGCGCCCTAAACCGAGATTCAAGGTTTAAAATTGAAAAAATCCGCGCGGTTGGTTTATCTGGCCCTAAAAGTCGAAAATATGTCCGTCAACGTAGAAGGCTCCGACAATTAAGCCGTCAAATTTAATTTCCAAAAGCTAGAATGGGCTACAGTAGGATGGCAAGACTGCGACACTCCAAAAAATACGTAAAATTTGATTGCTTGATCCCCTTTTTTTGAAAAGGGGATTATATCTAACAATGCAAGACATTTCTAAGCCCATTTGCTTCCTCTTTTTGTTACTTTTCCATTCCCAGTTTTTTCGAGACAAACCAAAGTTGTAAGCCGAAATTCAAAATTTTACAAAGATTTGGAGTGCGTTTTAGGTTGGCACAAAATTGTTCTTCAAAAGTTAGGCAATCTTTCGGTTTTCGAAACTTTTGACCAGGTTTTTCGAGACCTTGTCCCTTTAAAACAGCTATAACAAGCGCTCCTGAAAAGTTACTTATAAGCATCTTGTTCTCTGCATTTCAGACCTTATCGGCGCACAAGTTGGGGGGCGGCGACCCGGCGAAAATTAAGAAAAGAGGGCGAAGGACGAATTATGCAAATTAGGAAGGGCGGACTTGGAAAGGTGGTTTTTGTTGATGGATCCTGGTCGTTAAATACCATACCAATTTAAGGCAAAACAAAGCTCCAAAAAGACTAAAAATTCCCAAATAAATAAAAGCGGAAGGTTGGCAAAACGATTTTCGAGGGATTTAAGATTGTAATAACAATTCTTTGTATTTCAAAAACTTGTTTTTCCCAAAATCACACTGAAATTCATCAAAATCGCCGCAAAAATATCGTAAGAAAAATACGAAAGGTGTCACCTTACTGCAACGCGAAAATTCCGCAAAGCGACCCAGTAGTGTCAAATTTTACGGGTTCAACCAGGCAGCAGGCGCCTGAGGGCTTATCACCAAATTTCGGTAGAGCCGAGAACTGAATGCTGATGACGCCAGGCCTGATGGGTCTGCAGCTGAGATGGTGACCGCTTTTTTTGTGCCCTCCCCCGCCCTGGCGGCCACTGCACTCTAAAAGCGTCTGGGTCGTATAGTAAACAGAAGGCTGAAGATCGGTCGAAGACGAACGGAAATAAAAAACGGTTTTGAGAGTATTGCGGAAATAGTTTCGAGAGCCATTTTTGAAGCCGACGGAGAGCCAAAAAGTGAGAGAGAGCGAGAGAGAGAGAGGGCGAGAGAGAGTGAGAGAGAAAGAGAGAGAGAGAGAGAGAGAGAGAGAGAGAGAGAGAGAGAGAGAGATAGGGAGAGAAAAAGGGGGAGAGAGATGAGAGCGTCATAAAAGAGTAAGCAAAATGAGGGAGTAGGGAGCAGCAGGCGGAATAAAGACCAGAGAGAGAGAGAGAGAGAGAGAGAGAGAGAGAGAGAGAGAGCGAACAACCTATAGAGACGAATTCAAATATAGAGAGCGAAAAGTAAAGATAACTGGAGGCGAAGTGTGAGTTTGGGAGAGAGAAAGTGAAAGAGAGCGCTAAAGTTTTTGATGTAGCTATGCAAAATTCAATATTCGAAAACCACCTAAATTCATAATTTTTTAACCTTAACAGGGTTGGCGTTCCCCCCCCCCCGGCCCTTTCCACCCCTAATTTTTTTTTTTTTTGTTTTTTTTTATTTTGTTCATTTTGAAAAAAGCCTTCTCCCCCCCCCTTTTTTTTCGGCCGCCGCCCCCCTCCCCGGGGGGGCATTTTTTAAAAGAAGGGGGGACTTTTTTACAGATTTATTTTTTTTCTTGTAGGGCGTAACTTGTCAATTTTTTTTTTTTTGGGGCGTCTTCCCGCCGCGACCCCCTACGAATCATACTTAGCCGGCGCCCCCCCCCCCCCTCTCAATCCCGGCACCCCGGTTTGAGGTTGGTTGCAAAATGGCAAACCCCCCCCCACAGCCAATTTTTTTTTTTTTTTTTTAGGATGATTTTTACTGTATTTGATAAGACTTCCAACAACTATTTCCATTAATACACCATCTCGCTTCGCAAAAATACTCCTTTGAAGACTACTGTATTAGCTGAATTCAGTTACGACAAATTTCAGTAAGCCCATTATTACGTGACTATACTATTCCGGAATTACCGGACCGCTTCGGGAATTTTTTCAAAATTTGTAGCCAAGGCCCGCGCCTTGATTTTCCATTTTTCGAAATGTTTGTTGACATCAACAAGGTGAGGGAGGGGTGGGCCATGTGGGTTGCTGCAGCAGCACTCCAGCCGAACCGCCGACCAATTGGTCCTGATTTATGGCGGGGCTTTGATGCTTTCAGGTTAAGCCGAACGAAAAAGAGGAGTGCAACACAAAATAGAGCATTAAAGACCGCCTTAACAAGAAAATATTTGCTAAGAAAGCCGTTAGACCCTTAATTAATAGCAAAATTAGCAAAAAAGGTTTTCAAAAATGTTTATTTTTCTTAGAAACGTGTTCAAGAAAGCAGAATCGTTTTCGGAGCTCGAAACGTAATGCCTCGCTTTGTTTAAGTGTTTTTCAGGAATTAACGTATCACTTGGCCAAGGATTGCCTTCTTTTAAGCAGCTTGTCGGAATTTAAGATATTTGCCCCGGAAGTGGTGGGCAGATAAGACTTCCAGTCATAGACAGCGTAGTAAAAAGGTCACCACAGATTTTTGAGATATTTTTTAAACGCTAGCGATGAGACTGACATCAAAATATTGTAAAAACCGCGTTATCTGACACTCTCGAAAGACATAAAATTGCGTCTAAGGAATATTATAAATCATTATATCATTTAAAGAAAGTCAAGCGGAAGGAGAATTCGCAACGTTGTCTCAGTTTTTCATGAATTAAGCTTTTCTAACACCGCCAAACACGTAAAAAACCGACTTCCTGTCAGGCGGCCAGCCTTTGTAGTTGCACGACCTAATAACCGGAATTTTTAATAGCTCCAAAA